TTATAGATCTTACAGACCTTACATGGAAATTCCCTTGATTGACACCACAGAGGTGGTGTGGTTGTCTAACACAATAGTCATAACTTCACATATACATATAATTAGAAACAGATGTTGAAAATGGGAGATTTACTATAAATTTTATAGTCAAAAAAACAATCCAACAGAAAAGTTTTATACCAATTGGTATAGGCTTTTATAATTAATGGTTTTTGTTGTGTTGAACGAAAAATTGCCAAATCCTTGCAAAAAACTATTTTCGCTCGAATGACGTAAAACTTTTGGGACTAGAAATAAGAATTGGTCAACAATATTATTTTGAAACAACAATTTATTACATAACAATAATTCTGCCCTCGTAACGAAAAAAGGCACAACTACTCTATAAAGTACGCATAGTTGTCTTTTTTCGTTACGAGGGCAGAATTTATGACTTCAATAAATTAATATAAACATCACAAGTAGGCGTGTCCATCTGATACTTATAAAATGTATACAAAACTTAAAAATTTGGTTGACAGTGTACGTAAAAAGATTTTTTGTAAAATCAATTTTATTGTACAATATTTAGATCCGAAACATAGTTTACATTTTCAATGTCTGAACTGATAAAGTATTGTGCTTTCAAAAATTTGCTGCAGGGATGGCAGTTGGCTCTATCTACGTTTATCTTCAAACATGATAAGTTGCAGAAACGCACGAGCTCGCACATTGGACATAGAAAGTTGTCCATATTATCGATCAATATTGAACTTTCATTATAGTCGCCAACAGGAACGTCAAATATTGTTTTTTCTACATTCTTTTGCACATCTAATTTTGATTTCAACTTGTCCTCTAACATTGATTTTTCTCCATTCTTTTGCATAATCAATTTTGATTGTGTCTTTAGAATGCCCGTTTTTAATTTCGACTTTGAAGTATCCAATAAAGACTTTTCTTTTCCCAAGTCCACCTTTGACTTGTCTATCTTAATAGGAAGAGCGCATTCGAAACAGATTTGAAACCTTTTATCCTGGAAATGTATTAAAATTCTTAATAAATTAAAAATTATAAACTTTTAAACTTTCGCGTTGCATTAGACTAACATTTATAAAGGGGAATGAACGTGATTAACAATTTAATAAGTCTGGCCGAATCGTATAATAGATAGGTAGATGTGTAAATACCTACTATATTGTTTGACAGCGTTTATTTTTTTTAATGTTAGTAAATTAAAACAATAGAGGTATGTATAGATTTTATTTTGTTTAATATATAATTATATATAAATATAATTATAATTATAATTTAAGTATAATTTTGTGCTAATGATTTTTTTAAATTGTTATTTTTCTTTTATTTATTTATTCTGCTACATAAAGGGTTTACGTAGCAGTCCTTCAATGATATCATAGCTAGCTGTAGAATAATGAGTCGTATTGATATAGAAGAATAAAATGAGAAGAAGTACGCGTGGTTTCAAGGATTAATAATAGGGGTTTAAATATGAAATTGCCGATTTATTTTACTGGCCACTTTAAATTAAAATTAAACCTGTATGGTGTCCGATTTCAGAGTGAAACGTTTTTCACACGAAAAGTAAAACATGCTTAACTTAAAAAACATGATATTTGATTGTTCGACTTTCAATTGTTTTTACATTCAGCTTTTAACGTGAAGACAGATACAGCGAAAATCTGAGTACCTAATTTTCGAATACGAATTTCCACATGGAGTTAACGTAGCAGAAACTGTCAATGCTGTATTTGGAGAGGATACGGCATACGCAAATACGGCAAACGCCGGCAATACGGCAAATTACGACTTGAAGAAAGAACCACGAGGAAGACCAGTCACAAATGTAAATAACGTTGAATTGAAGGTAATGATGAAAGCCGATCCGTATCAAACTACCACGAAACGTCATGGTTTAATGTTAGCATACCCACAATATGACATATGGCGTTGGAATAATGACGACGGAACTCGCAGCAAAACAGCTTCACCGTTATTGCTCTATGATAACGCAACACCTCACACTGCTTGAGAAACAGTTTTACTACTACAAGACCTGCAGATATAAATTATCCATCATCCTACATATTCGTCGGACCTCGCCCCGACCGACTACCATTTTTTCCCGCAATTTGATTTTTTTTTGTATGGAAATATAATTCCCAGGAAGCAGTACAAAAATCCCTTCACACAGCTGTGGAGTCCAGGTCTCCAGAGTTCTATCGCAAAGGTTTAAATGACCTTCCGATTACATGGCAGAAATGTATAGACAACAAGGGAAAAAACTTTGATTAAACAAATATATTTAATCTTAAAAAAAATTGTTTTAATTTTTCAGTGCGAAACGGCAATTTCATACTTTAACCCCTAATATAACATTCTGGGGAGCTACTATGAGTTTAATCAGTGACAGTAGTAGCTTACGACCTCGTAAAATATTTGTACAAAAATGTTAATTTCTTCTTTTGGCCGCTAGAAGCATTACACAATTTACCATAAATTAAAAATGAAGTATAGAAGTACTAACATGTCGGGGAGCAAATTCAGGTTTGACGTAAATATTTTTCATGTTCTCCTTCGCTTCTTGCGCTAATTTCGATGCGATCCTATGTTCATGTATCAAACAACTGACGTCTGTTTCTATAATATTCTTTTCCGAAGTTGTCATGGCACTCGCAATTGGTATATCGGCTTTCAATCTGTTATTGTAAAATTGAATGATGCGTAGCAAATGTTTGAAGATTCGATCATCGGTGTATAACTTTTTGTTGGTAGTCTTGAGGACGTCCCAAATTTCCAAGCATCGGTGAGTTGTCAGCCAGAGGCCAGCGCTTTGTGGATTCTTGTGTTCTTTGAATATCATATTCCAAGTTCGATGTTTATATCTGCGGAATATAGCAATTTTGACTCCTTGTTTATTTTATGTTTACTTACAGTTTCCTAAAAAGGAAAAGCTTTGCCCGAGAAATGACGAGGGAAACATCCTCATCACTGGGACACAGAAATTGACGTTACGCCACTACGTAACGTCAATTTCTGCCGCCCGAGGCAGCTTTAAATTTGCTGCCCCCTCTATTTTCACGATTGTTAAACTAGTTCGTGCGGGCACGCTCGGCTAGAGTGTGTTTTTATGTTCGCCTGCCTTCGCCACCTTTGTGTTATTCAGGATATCTTTTTCTCAAATAGTGGAATTTATTTTTTAAGTAAAAATAATATTTTTGACTAGTTAGGGCTAGGTCGTGCTCCCCGCCGCCCCCATTGCTATGCCGTCCACTGCTCTGCACCCCCCACGCTACACCACTGCACTGGGGGGGCCTAATCCCAATTCTCTGTCTGACATTCGACCGAAACAATTACTGACAAATAAGTAATACTCGACCAAATCAAAATGCAATGTCAAGCATGAAGCTTCAATCGTATTTGACAGTAAATGTTTCGAAAGGATATCGGATGGAGAACGGGATAGTACCCCCTGATTTAGTCAGGAATTCGATATTTGGCCTATTATTCATTATTCCTTGTCACTTCGTTCGGCCGGCGGTGAAATAATAAAGTCAGTTGATGTCAATTAAATTGTTCATCCACTTTTCACAGTATAGTTCGAAAGTATAAAACATCAAGTTTCATAAAGAGTGGCACTGGGGTTCGTCCGATCCTCGCCCGTTTTAAACTGTCTGACCAAAGTCGTGTGCTTGCCACTGCCATCTCTATATCGATCTTACCCAAGTCCATTGTTTGACGTGTTCAACTAGTACATACAGTCTAAATATACTAGAAGGCGTTGTAATTGAAACTGCCTCCGTGACCGAAAGGATACCTTGCTGGACTGCCGCCCAGAGGTCCCAGGTTCGATTCCCGGGCCGGGAAAAGTATTTGTGTGGCCTACATTTATTTTTGTCGTGAGTTTAGGTGTAATTTTTGGTTGTCTACATAGATAGCCCGTCCATGACACCCGCGATACAGGGTATCTAAACATTAAATTTACTTTTCAAGAATCGTCTAGTTTGATAGCGCAGTGGTGGTGAACTTCTGTATACGTTTAAAAATGAATTTTTATTCAAACTACTGATAATTCAAAAAATCCAACTTACTTATAAATTACATCAATGAGTTCCTTCATTAAATTCCCCTGAAGCCACCGTATATGCAACAATCTAGCACATTCCCTCATCAAGTCTACAGCTCCTTGGTATTCTGTCGCTTTACTTCGTTCTTCGTCAAGTTTTGAAGATCTACTTTTCCCTTTATTTTTCACATCAAATTTAGAGGTGCGACTTGCTTTTTTACCTTTTGCGACTTGTCCTAAAATACAACAAAAGATACAGCTTCATTTAGTCATCTCACCGTTGTTGACGGACAAAAGCTATACGGCAAATTTTATGTTGTAGCCTCAAGTGCCTATCACAAAATAACTAAAATGAATTTTCTTCACGTGAATATGTAATGTAATGTTACCTGTATTCGACGAAGAATAAGTAACAGGTGGCATATTATCATTCAAAGTTTTGTTTGCAAAGGCAAATACGTTCCCATATACCTCATCTTCGTTGCGGCACTCGATTAGAGGATCAGCACCATAGAGAAGAAGGTTTGTCAACTGTAACCGATACATTACTTATATGAGAACATGCAGTAATTGTTTAAGTTATTGAGAAGCCGAAGAAGATCAGAGATGTACGTATAATAAGCAAGTCCACATTTGTGACTTTTAACGCACTGTTTTCGAGACCATAACAGATACGCGTGACAAAAATACAAGCATGGGCGGTAAATCTGAAGCTGACCTAAATTTGCAACAAGGAATTTTGTCGGGTTGTATCTTTTTGGTGTTCTGCCGTACTTATAACAGTTATGACAAGTATCTGTATTCAAGAATAAGGCTTAAGTGTAACACAAAGAAAATTGCAAATCAAGCAAAATATTATATAATTTACATACGATAGGCAATCGATCCATTCCGGTAGTACTTTGGAAATAATCATATTCAAACATTTTGACGAGAATAGTTTGGTTTTTCATATTAATTACAGCATTAAGATCAACATTAGGACTCCTCATGAAAATATCTATGAGGTCAATTTTCGTCATCATGAGAAGGTCAATGGCTGACCGCCCTTTGAATTGAACTGTTGGGTCACAATTATGTGCGAGAAGAAGTTCTATTAATTGGTTGCGTATCTGTGAACATTATTTATTTAATAGATTAGCTTACAGACCCATCAAAGCAATTAAAGACACATGAGACTTGTCAACTTTCTCTGGAACTCAGGTTTTTGCGATTTAAAGCTCTGACTGATACTGCAACTGCTGTGGACATGCGTGGCACTTACTACCAGGCGTACGACTAGTACGACATCCTATCACTTAGTATTATTTAAAAAATGTGACACGATGCTATGTCCTTAAGATTGATGCTGCAGATTTTGCCGTTGTAAATCATATTGCGTCATACATGCTTGAGTGGATCTCCACAAAAAAAAAAATTACAAATAATATGACAAACAGCTTTGAAATCTCTAAAAAAAATAAGTTCGACCGTGCATGGACCGCTGTCGCCACCCTTCAGGTGGCTGTTCCCGACACCAGTAGGGCCAACACGACAGGGCAGTTGGTATAGCGTCTGGCATGGCATGCAAGAAGACGTCGTTTCGAATCCGATCGGATCGAAGGAATTTTTTCTGAGTGTTCGATCTTTGTATTAATAATTTTTTAACACCCTTGCTCGTAAAGCTGATGTAATTCCATCGGTTTTAAATATGTAAAGCGGGTCATAAAAAACGCGTGTGTTACCAAAGCAAACAGTTAAGTTATAGTCCATACAAATTCCATAACAGTATTATTTGCCATTTCAAATATGGAACTGATCGCCGCCGCACGACTCCAGCTAGTGAGCAGCGCTCTGTTGCTATTCAAATTTCGAACAAATCGCTGCGCGGCGCCAGTCAGTAGGCAGCGCTAGCGCGCTGTTAAAATGGCGGGAAAGCAACAGTGTGCATTCACAGATTGAGTTTATTTAAAAAAAAAAATCAGTTTATTTGGTAATTTAAAAACTTGGCTGCATGCTCTAGCGTCTTTGCCAACATTTTCACGCAGCCACGGTAGAAAATAATCCTCGCGCCAAAATAGCATTAAAAATTTTAAAATAGAAATAAAATAAAATCCATGTTTTTAATTAATATAAATAGCATAAAGTCATTTGTAAAATTGTTAAAATAGTAATAGTGTCATAAAACTGTAAAAAATAATAAAATAGTGTAAATCATTGTAAAAAAAAATATAATAAATGAAATAAAATATTACGTCAGAGTTTCAGTAATAATTTCGCCCACGTTGTCCCCTCCGCACTACGAAGGTTTTGTTTTCGCCTTGTTGGCCTGCGCTACTGCTTTCATAATCGCCACACAGAAGTCGGCAAATTTTCTGTCCTGAACGCTTCCCTGTCAGGAGGGCGCTCCATATCGAGGTCGAGAGTTTCTTGTCGACCTCGAATTCGAGCTTCAACCTGTTGGACCTGAATACGGGGCATTCGTTCAGGACATGTTCGAGCGTCTGTGCGGCGTCTGGGGAGCACATGCATCTAGGGTCATCGCAGCATCTGAACTGGATGGAGGTACGCGGTGTTCCCGCCGTGACCAGTCCACGCCTGAGTCAGCCAGTAGGATACGCCAATTTTCCCGATAACTCGGTACGCCTGGCGTATGTCCGGAAAAACAGTTTGGTGATGCTGCCTTTTGCGGACGCAGAATACTCCTCTTCCTAGGCGTCCAGGGTTCGTTGACGTATCACTCGTCTGGCATACGATATAGGGAATCTGCCGTAGTCTGTAGCCGTTTTCTCACAGATGGTACCATGTTTGGCGAGCTCGTCCGCGCGCTCGTTGTAGACAGTGCCGACGTGAGCGTGCACCCACCAGAGCTTGACGCTGCTACCCTGCTCGGCCGCCTGCGATAGACTCGACCTGACCTCGTTTACCAAAGGGTGCATGGATCGCGGGTTCGCTATCGCGTCCAGGGAGGAGCGTGAGTCGCTCAAGATGTCGCACTTCCTGTAGCGAGGACCCTCCATCGGCAGCCTAACCGCTTGGCGAGTGCGAGGAACTCCGACTGGTACACGGTGCAGAACGGTTCCAGTCGGTATTTCTTGCTCAACACTTCACACCCATCTCGCCAGCAGGTGAAAGCGCAGCCGACCTTGTCCTCGATCTTGCTGCCGTCGGTATATATACTGACAGGACAGGGGCGGATGGTCGGATGAACGGTTGCACGCTCCATGGTCACGGGATGACCGAACGGCGGCAGATGACAGCTTTAAGAGCAGACATATCTGTCCAACCTCTTGCGCTGTCGACGACTACCTTCATCGCGATTTGTTGTGGCCTTACCATTGTCACTCACTTTTTTCACATAAACCACACTCATTGTATCCACACGCAAAACTGAACTCTAGGTGTTTTTGTTTTTATTACTGCACGCACTAAGGACTGGATTCCATGCACTGGACAGTTTAAAACCATCATCACGATTAAATGCTTTGTACTTCGTGATCTTGATGGCTTCTCGTAGCACCATCAACAATAAAATTATGGAAGAGGTATGTTGATGACGTATTTTGCATAATGGAAGGAAAGGAGCAACATGTACAAAATTATTTAGATTATATAATTATGCTATTATTAATCATTTAGATCGGATGTCCGATCCGATAATCGGAGTATGATGACGATGATAGTAAACTATTGGTACTATAATTTTTACGTTAGGGCCGGATTAACGGTTACGAGACTATCGTAATTTGAGTACAAGACGCATATTGTAGAACGTGTTTACTTAATTTAGTTATGTTTATTTAAGTTAGTCTTATCTTATGACGCAGACAACATGAGTTGAATTCCTGACAGGGTCATTAAGAAAACTTAACTTTTCTTAAGTGGTTGTAGCTTATGAAAACGCATAGTTTAGAAACAATAGTGTCTCCCGAAGATCCTATGAGAGCTGCATTTTTTCGGTAAATGTAAATATTGGGTCATCAAACACGGAACTTAGGGGTGTTAATTACTCATATAGTAATAAAATAAAATACCCGCATAATTAATCATCATTCACATGATGAGTGATCAAAGAAAGTGACTAATGGGGTGTTGATCAACGACGGAGGTCAACAACCTATTAAAAGTACAAAGTTTTTACTCTGAGTACCTCCCAGTAGTTGCCACCAAACAGCTGATGTTTTTATGACTAATTAATAAATGTATATATATTATAATATAATGTAATAAATATAATAAAAGTAGATTTTAAGAGTAGACTTTATCATTGAAAAACTCAGAAACTGTTACACTTAGAGCAAAAAGAGTTTCCGTACATATTTAAGACTTTTTACACTTTTCGGTTTTGTCAGTCATTCTGTTCCACCTTGTATATGACTGCAAAAATACATGAACATACTGAATAAGTATACATTTTTATATGATAACAATATTATGCTTAGATAAAGGCAAACGCGTTCTACAACAAGTGGTGTAATTTTTTAAATAATTGGTCTGGGAATGTTCATACTTCAGATTAGACGTTTGTAGAAACGCTGCAGTGGCGCGTCTGGGGTGTGGCATAATTTTCATGCAACATCTAGTCTGCTAAAGTGGGGCGTGAGTGGCGGCTGCAGCGCCACATTCGCGCTACTGCAGTGCGCTTCTACAAGGTATTTGAAGGCACTCTAAGTATAGCATGCAAGGCCATGAGCCATAACGCGGCAAAGAGGTCCAACTTTCATCCTTTATATCACGTTCTTATATCAACTCAATCAAGTCTACTGTACTTGAAGAAACAAATCTTACTTCATCCTCAAACTGAAAGTTAGTATGTTTCGCAAGAACAGCATGAATCAATGTCGGACCAGGTAATTCAACAGGGTAGTCCGTTTCTAAATCAGTTTTAGTGTAATATAGCCGACGATTGGTATCTGCACCACTTTCGAGTATTGCTTTGATGACCTCCAGATTCTCCAAATTCAAAGGACGTGATATTGCTACTTCCAGAGGAGTATAATTATGTGTCTGAAAAAATCCAGTGAACCTAAATATTTGCTGTAATCTCATGCCATTTGGATTCTTAGAAGCCTTCCGTTGTTGCCTTCTACAGTCTTTCATATTTTAGTAGCAGTAGAGCTCCTTGTGCAAGAGTTCGTTTTCGTCCAGTACTGCTACTTGCCCGTAACTTGATATTACAAAAAATATGGGTAAGAAGTACTTGGAGATAGTTTAGATAAATCGTGGTCAGTAACATCATTTAGGACATTCAAACTTACGTCAAAATAGGTAGTATTTATATCAGCACCATTACGAATCAAAAGTTGCACGAGTTGTGAAGAGCTTGATAGGATAGCCATATAAAGGGCAGGCTGCGGACAAACGACTAAGTTCGGATCAGCACCATCGTCGAGCAATTGGATTATGGTTAACATTATTTTTGCACTTCTACAACAAAACGGCCAGACACATTAGAATGTGGTACATGTTTATGGTTTACATTTTGATCTAAAAAATTAAACTAACATTTCGTCTTTTAGTTTGTCAATACTATTAGTTGAAAGTTTTTCATAACTCATCGCCGCATCGACCATTTCAGATTTGGTTGACATTTTCAGTTTTGAAATCTTAGAATTTTTCTTGGTGAATTTTTCATTTGATTTGAATAGAGTTTCTTCTAGCGCTAGCACATCGCTGGTTATGTTATCCAACTCAAACAGGTAATTAACACCAAATGCATTTGGCACAGACATAATTTCGTTTACTCTTATTATATATTCATTGTTCATAGTTGAGTATAGCCGCTTATCTTCAGAAAACGACTCGTCAGAATCATATTCTATGTCCAGCGAAGATTGCCTCATTTGTAATGATTTGTTGGGTTGGGTGGCATATGATGCACTGTTAACTTTTTTTAGGCTGTCTTTTCGCTGAATTTTACCAGGCGATTTACCCTGTAATGAACGTTTGTCCTTATCGAATTCTGTAGTGGACATTGTTATACGCGATTTTAACCATTCTGAGACAATTTTCAGTTCCGGAGCTAAAAATAATGATATAAAAATTAAAATTGAAAGAAAAATAACAATGTCTAATAAGCATTAATATGATCGATACTCTTATGATTCGTACTCTGAAATTAGAGTTTCTTCGAAAACATACAGATTCTAAAAAGTCACAGTCTCAAATTAAGCTATACGAATTTCTCTTTTTGAAATTACAAATTGAACTGTATACATTATGTAATGTACCAATTACAATAAAGAATTATGACACATAGTATTTCTTAGGCTTGTACATGCTTGAGCCCTCGGACGGCCGAGACGCGCATAGTCGGTCGTCAAGCGAGCGATGTAGATTAAATCTCGCGAAATAATTCGCGCGCTCTGATTAACCAGGAGCGTCTCGGACGCATAATTGGGCCGGCACGGTGTGGGAGACGTCACAATAATATCCTTCAGGATTCCAAAAACTTAAGATTAGAAAGTTTTAAGTTCAAGTAAGTTAAGAATAACCATTGGTCCAGTTAGCGATTGTTCACAGTTTGCTCCCCGGATTGTGACTGTGTCACTTGAGACAATATACTACATTGATATTCCTAACTATACGTTCCATTGCTGGACACGGAATTCTTCCAGATACATTTTTAACAACAAATAAAACAAATAAAATAATTATTAATTTAACGTTAATACAACGTTACAGCTTTTGATAGGGTCTGGCACACAAGTCTTTTAAGCAAGCTTCCCTCTTATGGGTGTCCCACTGACCTTTGCAATTGGATTTCGGATTTCTTGAGTGGACGTTCGATTCGAGTGGTTTGGTGCACCGATTTTTCGTGATATATCCATACCGATAGTCGACCGTCTCCAGCTACTTGGAATGGATCTGTGACCCAATCTGAACTTCGGGCATTGAATCAATGGCCAAAAATGCAGCCAGGAAGCTTCGCATCCTTTCCTAGGTGAGGCGTTACTTCATACCGGGACAGTTGCTACAGCTGTACTAAGTACAACTCGGTCGAGTATTGCTGTCACTTATGGGATAGCTTTGCTAAATACCAAAGGCTTATAGGTGACTCGGAATTAGTTGAGGCGAAGCTGCAGAGCCTTGAACACCGCCATAAAATTGCCTGCTTATTGGTATTCTACAGGATATATCACGGAGAGTGTGCGATGGAATCGCATAATTTGATTCCGCCTTCCCCTTTCCATAATCGGGAGACTAGACGTGAGTGGGATTCCACCCCTATGTTTTGGATATTCCCAGGATTGGTACGAAGCGATTCCCTTCCACATTTATATTGCGAGCGGCTAGAGAGTGGAATTTTCTGCCTGCGCTATAACGCTATAACTTGAACCTTTTCAAGGCGAGAGTGAATAGACATTATTTAGGTGTGCATGGTACATCGTCGACCTCGTCATCACTTTCCATCAGGTGAGATGGAGGTGAAATGCGCACTTATTTTTAATTAATAAAAATGTTATGAAATTGTATCTGGAATTTATACAGGTCTACAGTATTGGTGTTTATACAGTCCACTTGCAATCGAGTTGAATAAAACCAGATGAAGAAAAATAGAAGTTTTATTGATGGAACCAACAGCAGGTATTGACTAATCATTACTAAAATGCGTTATTAAGTAGTACGCATTGACTTACCAAGAAAGTAGGGGATAAAATACTTACTTACATTTATCTTTGGAAGCAGGCCCTGTTTGCATAACTGCAGGGGGTAGTAAGGACTGAATCATTGCATTGGGTACTACATTTCTTTTAACACATAAATACCGAATGAGAGCTATGCCGAGGGCAGTGCAGCAGGAGTCGTTATAACTGTTCACGTTTGCCCCAGCTTCAACTAGAAAGTGTATTATATTCGGTTGATCTCCAGCCTGAGAAGCAATATAAACTACAATTTTATATGGTGAAGGTGCCGAAATTTAACAAGCAGATATTTCGAGTAATCGCCAAAGCTGACTGTTTACGAGTGTCCAATGAGGTCCTTTGTAATTCACTTTACAGTGTTGAATACATATTACAATCTGCGTACCTTTAGTTGTAGGTCCACCACCATTACATTTCCAATAGGTTTAGTTTGTCTTCAACAGTTTGTAACAAAAAGATGTAGCATATATTGAGACACGAAAATGTCCTTAAAATTGAATAATTTTAACCATACTTACATTTTATTAAATTTGATTTACCAAATCAAATCTGCTGTCACTGCCACACAGAATGTATGGGAAAGGCGAACGACTTCGCACTCTACTCCGCTAGTTTGTTGTTATTATTGATACAAAGATTCAATTCGTAAGATCTGCTAACTCGTTCCACGACTTAGTTGAGAGAGGAATAGCCCCGATTTGGCGAAAAAGTCGCTAGTTCAACTGTTTGTTCGATCTTTGTATCAACAATGACTTCATTAGATTTTTTCTTTTTTCTGGTTTAAGTCCTCGACATTCTTATGTGCAGTCCACATCGCGAACGAAGCTCAGTAAGCTTAGCTCACGTAGTCGGGGCATCTTTTCATACTTCGGTTCACGGTTCACACCCTGAACTAAGCTAACCGAGTAACTAAACTAACCCAACGATTCCGTTAGCTATATAAAATATGTCGCCCTTCAGCCGCCTTTTACCCCTGCACGTATCCAAAATACTTACTACGTATTTTCTTAGTTTAGCTTAACTGAAATAATAAGAATCACTTACAGTTGCGTACATAAGCGCAGTATTACCCCGTATGTCGGCAATATTAGGGTATACATTGTATTCGTTCACTAACTGAGCCACATTCACGATATGACCTAGGTAACTTGCCATCAATACGGTTCTGCAACATGAAGACAAAATATTATGGCGAGGACTTTTCAAAATGAAATAATTTTAAAATCACAAGTAAGTAAAACGCATTTGAATTTTCACATTGATTAAACTCTACTACTCATACATAAGGCAGATTCCCCTTAGAACAATGAACAAGAAACTCTAGGGGGTTGCTGTTTGTAAATAAACATTTTGTTTTCATTTATCATTCACAATTGTTTACAATATTTATTTCAAATTTCATAGATCAAGCAAGAGCTAAAACGGGTCTCTGTCACTGCCACTGGCTTTTTGTCACCGTTAGTGTCAAGTTTTTGTTTGACTGTAGTACGTCGTAAATGGCAAATTTTGAATATCAACCGAAATCTTGTGATAGAAGCGAATACATTGCTCCTTAAAGGAATTTATGAGTTTCTGAAGATGACTGTCAAGAATAGCCAGTTTATTTAAATTCCTCGTCATGTTTATTCATTATTTTTCATAAAAAATTAACATATAAGTAAAATTTTCAAAATGTACAATGACGCTACAATTAAGAATGTACATTTCTTTAAACTTCTTTATCAAAGGAAATGAAACTCATTTCCTTTGAGAAAGAAGTATTTATTTGTATATATATGTATTTGTATATACAATGTATTTCTTCGATCTAACTCGCGTATATACAGTGGTGGTCGTATAATTAGAAACACTACAAACGGTCCTTGATATTATGTAAGAAACTTCACCGCAATCGTTTTTATTTTCAAACTAAACAATAAATAGGACAACAATAGGTTCAACGATTTATTATTTATTAGAAAAACAATATAAATCCCACTACACAAGTGCAGTTTCAATATTACATAACGGACAAACACTTAAATCAGTTTTAAGGTATAAACAATAATGGACAACTAATTAGAAACAACAACAAAAAAGTGTAAAAAAACAAAATTTTTTTAATTATTATCAATTAGTATTTTTATTTACGAAATAATTACTATCCACAGCCTACCAATATGTATAATTAATATTTAGTGGCGTATCCCTTATTTTCAATAACAGCTCTGCAACGACGTGACATTGATTCAATCAATGTCATACATTTTTCTAAGGGGATTGAATTCCATGCTTCAACAAATGCTTCATATAATTCGTTTTGACTGGTGTTACGTTTGTTTGAGACTTTCTTTTCAACAATATACCACAGATTTTCTATCGGGTTTAAATCCGGACTATTTGCTGGCCAGTCTAAAACGGATATACGCTGTTCGCTAAGGAAACATTTGACGCTATTGGCCGTGTGTTTAGGATCATTGTCATGCTGAAAGATCCAGGTTATAAATGATCGTCCGAGTTGGGAATTATTGTGTCCTCTAAGATATTTTTGTACTGCCATTGATCCATTGTACCTTCAATCTTCCGAACGGGACCAACTCCACATACGGAAAAACACCCCCAAACTTTAATGTTTCCGCCACCGTGCTTGACTATGCTCCTTGTGTATTTATAATTAAAAGCACTGTTTACAGGACTTCTAACATAGCGCTTTCCACCTGAATTTGTCATGTTTATTGTCATTTCATCTGAAAATAAAACTTTTTTCCAGTCTCGTACCGTCCAATTAACATATTTTTTTGCGTATAATAATCGCTTCTCTCGATGTTGCTTGGTAAGAAGCGGTACCTTTCGAGAGGTTCTTCCAAACAATTTAGCTTCCTAGTGGAATCTTCGGCGTATCAGTCTTGATGAGACGCTTCTGGTGTCATCAGGCGAAAAAACTACATTTTTAATCTGGTTTGAGCCTTTAAATGGGTCTTTTTTAGCAACACGAACGATTAGCTTATCTTCTCTGGGAGAGGTTTTTCTTGGCCGAGCCTTTCTAAGAACATTTTCAACAGTTCCGTGTGTTTTATAGTGATTAATTGCATTAAGAACTTTCTTCACAGAACAATTTCAATGCTCAGCTATTCTTCTGTACGTCCACTTTTGATCTAAATGTAAATTAACAATTATTTGCCTAGTTGACGCGTCACAACGCTTCAATTTGCCTCACTAAGCGTATTATTATTATTATTAAAAAACTAAGCGTGTGCGGACTAGGTTTCTATGCGTTATTATTCTAAGTGTGTATGTATTTATTTTTCAAACAAATGGTCCCATGATCACGGCTGAATGCATGTATCGTCAGACATTGGGTTGTTTGAAAAAAAAAAAAAAATTACGCGTACACATACATTTTTACAAATTGCGAAATACTATGTTCTTTTTTCTCAAAGATTTGTGTAAATATCACTCACTCACTTTAAAATATCACCGGAACAATAACACTACTTCGGCAAACATAAATATTATAACTACGGTAAATTCTAGCAAATTATCAAGAAATGTTTCCCGGAAGTTGCTCTTAAACTATTGGGAAAGGTTACCAAAAAAATTTCGATTTATAAAAGTGTGATTTAAGAAATTTGCTAATGTTTATTAACTAACAAATTACCTGCAATCTTTCTCATATTTATCGGACGGCCTATATCGTTTTCTAGGTCCATTTAAGATCTTCGGTAAATCTAATTTGAAAGATTTCCTCTGACTTTCATGTTTAAAACAATGCTGCATCATTTGTATCAATAAATCGCTATTGTTCCACGCATAGTAATATTTCGCTGAAGCGTCTTCGTCTTGTTCACTTTGTAAATCACTGTTTACCTGGATTAGTAATAATCATTGTCTTTGATATTATATAATTGAAATGAGCGACCTTTCGGACAACAATATCTCTTTTGATTGAAAGTTATAACTAAATCCGACAGGAAACTTGACATATTTCGTCTACGGTGTCTCAGATCATTCTTGGACACTTAAGTGGCAGGATTGCGTCCCTAACACGGAAGTCAGGAGTCAGTGTCAACTCAGGTGATGCGGACACGTCCTTCGCACGGAGGACGACCTCTTACCCAAAGTTGTCTTTTAGTCCGATATGGCAGAAGGTCATCGAGTATATAACCCGAAATTGAGACAATAAGGGTCATATATTTCTGGTAACACATTAGCGATACAGCTCTTATAAATATCAACTCTCGTTTGCACTGAAATACTGACAGGCCAACTATTGACCTGTGTGTACGTCTCCGTATATCCCAAAAAATATTCTGTATTTGTTGTAATAAACATAATATCTCTAACAATGCCGTGCTGTATTCGGTGATGTGGGAAAAACAGCAAAACATCTAATTACAAAACCAACGGAATCACATTTCATCGGTAATTAAATATTATGTAATTTTTCTATTATCGTCCATTATAGCATAGCTCAAGTTAAACTGGTCGATTTGCAGTGAAACAATTGACAACACCCATCAATTATTTCAAATCATTTATGCGTCTTACTTCCACCTAATGCAACTCCCATTACGTCATCTCATTCTGAATAGAATTTTTTGGGCAAGTGTTGCTAGTGTCGCACTGAAAAAATTATATTATGTATCGATATTTGCAAGTTTATACTTGCTTATTACTGTATATTGATTTATTTAAACAATCAGTAACGTAAAAAAATCTACACCTAACGTCGTCGTAGTTAAGTATTGAGCCATGAGTATAATGTATCGATTTTATAAGTATGCCAGATTATACACAAGAAACACTAATTATTACGTGATAGATTGTCGTGCGTTTTTATTGCTCAGGAAAATTGTTCTTGTTTGAGAGTATATTTAACTTCTTATGGCCGTGTGGTGTTGGCCTAGTATAATACCACTCCATATCTTTCCATGGATGTCTTGTCAACTAACATTCTGCGATCACCTATTCACCTTTGCTAGTGTGGTGATTGTGCCAAGTCCCCGAGAAGTCCAGACTGTTTATGGGTTTTGAGGAGACCCATGGGCAGTTAGTGTTGTGTACTGTCAGTTGTTTTCTTTAAAATACGTGGGTACAGAAAAAAACTTAGTATCTTTGTATAGTTTTAGAAGATTTCCTAAGGATCCGGGCCGTAAGGAAAAATGGATTGCTTACACGAAAAGGGAAAACTGGTTTCCAAGCAATTACAGCATCGTTTGCTCTCGGCATTTCACAGAAGACTGTTTTTATACAAAAAACATTCGCCGCCGCTTATTTGATACCGCAATTCCTACACTGCATATGCCTGTAGTGGCAAGTGATATACGTAATCCATCTAATTTAACTTTATTAAACTTATATTATTTATAGACTGGACTCTTTCCCCCTTCAGGGTAAATTCTGAACGTGCATCGGAAAATGCAAGTCCGATACCATCGTCATCTGAAAATGAACTTTTACCAACTACACCTGGGTCAACTAAGCTACCGGTCCTGAAACTCCTACACAGTTTAATTCTCGGACCAAAAAACGTCTTTACAGACGTGTATTAGAGTTGACAAGTCAGGATAAAGATAGCATAAAGATAGGACAAGTAAGGCACTACAATGAAAGTACTTTACTATAATAAGAGGATGGTATCTTTAAAATTCATAATAAAATAATTAGAGATAAAAAAATTATAAAAGCGAAAGACGGCGACACTTTAAAGAAAATTGGTGTGCTCAATGAAGAAATCGTACAACGTCAATATCTAAAAACACAGAACAAGGAAAATTGTAAAAAATAAATATTCGCCAGTACTGAGGAGTTTCGCTCTTACGTTAAATTTTTATTCGACAAAAGCGTACAAATATGTAAATACATTTAGCACTTGCTCACTCGGAATTACTATGGATTCTAACAATAGTACACAATCCGAAATAGGTAAAAAAACAGGTAATGGTTATTTATAATGCCATATATACTTTCGATTTCGATAATATAATATTTGCTAAACCATCTCTAAAGTATATTTCGAATTCGGGCTGGCCTATCGGAGCGCAGTTGTCACCAGTTGTCATTTGGTAGAATAGCTTTCAAACAAATTAAATCACATTTCGTCTCTATTTCTGGCTATACACTCGATGCAGAAGGTAAACGGAGTCATGGTGGTCAACATCTCTGCTATAAAGATGTGCTCAAGAGGCAATTAAACGCTTTCGGTATAGTCGTCTTTGGTTGTCACATTGTCACATTGGTCGTCTTTGCGATCTACTGTCTATAAAAATGTTAAAACAGTCGAACAAAAGCGAGTCGAAACAATAAGCGAAAACGCCAAATAAGGAGAAAACTAAGTCCTCAAATGTCGTATCTTAACTGTGCAGGCCAATTTTATTGGTCTATTTGCGACTAGGCGTTTGAAATGAAATTCGGTACTGCGAGTCATATTAGTGTACACGTTAGAAACTAATTTTAAATGGTCGCTGTTAAAATAGAAATCGATAAGGAGAACTATATAATTGAAAATACGCCGCCTTTAGTACTCCAGGCCAACGTACATACAATCTTATGCCTTCGGTTGCACTTTTTCTATAATAATAATTGAGTATAGCTGTAGCCCAGAAAACGCCAAGGTGCAAAATGTAATTACAAAAGTAATCACTGTGGCAGAGATTTTATATACAGACAATCTTATGGTAACTATATTATTCTAAGAGATAATTACCTATTTAAGTAATAACTACATTTATATTACTTTGGTTTCTCAAGTACTAACATCAACCTTTTGCGGTGTATTGACCAGTTTCAGCGATGTGATCTTCCCCTTGTAATAGTATCGATCGAACGCGTCTACGTAGCAAAGTTCACTTTGCAAGTCCGTACAGAATTTTGGGTAAAGTCTAGTCCATTTCTGCGAAGCTGACATTGGGTCTGCCCCGCATTGTTTCAGAAGCTCTATCGCGCTGTTGGTCTCGCCAATCTGTTCGAATTTCACGTTTTAATTCAAGTAACAGATCGTTGCCTAAGAGCACTTGTCGTAGGTATACTGTTTGTTTTTAACAATACTGTCCCATTAAAAAAAAAGACCATACTGGTGTAGTCCGAAATCATAGACGATACAAGGAAACTGTCTTAGCACACATTACGTCTTTTTTGTGAATACAATTTTGGCATAGTAAATTTTTTTGGTCAAGCGTGAGTTATCCACAAAAATGAATAAAAATGATCAAAATTTATTTAGTGCTGATTAACTCAATTTTATGTAAAGATAATTTCGTTGTAGGTATATGATGAAAAAAATCGGGACAGGCGAAGTTGGTCAAATTAAAAAGAAAATTTTTTTTCATAGGTACTCTGAAGTATCATTAATAATCTCAGTACAAAGTACTGAAAAAGCGGACCTCAAAAGTACGTGGAATTACGTCTATTTGCTAAGTTTCATTGAAATATCCTCTAGTTCGCCACTATACAGGACTTGATACTGGAGATAATAAAAATAGGTTCTCACTACGCAAAGTATATCGAGAGAAAAACGCCTTGAATTGGAGAAATTGCAAAATCAAGTAAATAATTGCTAAAAGTAATTGCTCCTAAATTAAAGTTAGGCGCTATTTATAAAAATGAATCTTCATGCGTGAACATGCCACCCTTTGAGGTGGATGATTTTCTTCAAAATGAAATGGGAGCACTATGGAAATACCCCTTTCCAACAAAAAAAGAATCATGACAATCGGTTCACAAATACCGGAGTTATCGCGTAACATGCATACAAAAAAACAAAAAAAAAAGAACATACAGTCGAATTGAGAACCTCCTCCTTTTTTGAAGTCGGTTAAAAAAATATTACTGTATATTATCGTTCACATATGAGTCCCAAGCGTGGTTACAATTCGGCATGTTTAATATTATTCTTTTATGTAATGCACGCAAACGCAATCCGAAATTAATTTGAATACAAGTTTGTTCTTTTACCCAGTCGGTGTCTACTGCGTAAGCTTATCGGTTAGATGTCTTTTACGTTACTGAAAATAGTACCTATACTAATTGCATTATAATTCATAATAGCCAGAATAAACTAACGATTTTGGTTTTCTTGCTCAGTATCTTTCGGAAAGGTTCCACAAACTCAGGACCAGTGGGGCCCGTGCAAAAATCAGGCAGGATGCTCGGCACTGCAGGAGACCACGATATTCTCACTAACTTATTACCATACCAGAAACCAACATTGCAGCGTAGCGGCAGTACATGTTCTATTCCTGGTCCAAAGCGCATGTTCTTGTAGAAGATACCCTGAAATTCGAAACCTTTCTGGAAACGTTTCATTTAAATGTTTTGAGCATTACAAGTAAAAATATCTTGTCTAGCTAACGTTTCGCGTATTATGGACTGGCATGACATACGTCAGACCGAGAGCTATGGAAGTTGCTAAGAGAGGCCTTTGCCCATCAGTGGGATACCATAGGTTAATTTAAAAAATCTACACTTAGTCACATACCGAGCCATAAAAATTGTACTGTAAATGATGACTACGAAACATTTTTGAACAAAGAATTTTGATTTTAGCTAGCTTATCCACCAATTAATCTTGGGCTTAGTGTTGGAGCAATAAATTAGTCTGGACTACGTACAATAATGTTAAATGTTCCAGTACACGGACTTACAGTAAACACTTTTCCATCAGGATAGGACATAGTGCCGTACCCATGCATGTTGTTAGCGTAGAACTGGCCTTCGTAGGTGACGAATACCCCATCCTGACCTTTGAATCTCCATCGGTAATCACCCAAACCATGCATCGTGTTCCGCACGAAATTACCAATGTAATATTCTATTGACTGTAAAGTTTCAATAACTAAGCTTTATTAAACTCGATTATGAAATAATTAACGTTTCCATTATTAACATTATTTCATTTTTACAGATGTCATTACCATAAACATCATATATGAATTCGCTAATTTCAAACATTTTGTCATCATAATACAAACGTATCAAAAAGAACCCGTTAGTCAACCCGTGACCATGGAGCGTGCAACCGTTCCGAAATATCGGGAAAATAAAAAGAAGTCATACCGTGGTAAGAAACCTGATACTAGTGATAATCATTTAGTGAATAATCACGAAAGTCTTAAAATCTATATGAATCAAAAAGAACTCTACTTGGATAATTTAGTTAGATGTTGTCCACATTATGTTGATAAAAATATATTATTATGTATAAAAATATACTTAAACATTTTCTAGGAGGTACACAACGTTACCTCAGCTCCAGTCCAATGATTTTCTCCTTGGCCATTTCTTCTCTCTTCATCATCTCGTTCACCAAAATAATATTCGTCGTAAGGCCAAGATTTTTTTCTTTGATTAGACAATAGATCACTAGGCGAACCAGATTTTACCATAGTTGTTGTCACTGTTCAAAATAAATAAGATCCAAAAACTTGTATACATTAAAAAAACGTAGAATAATGCAGGAGTTCATTAAAAATAGAAGGACATCTTAGAAAAAAGAAATCCTGGACTTTTCCGAGTTGTAACAATTTGTTCCTTGTCAAATGTGATCTCTGATTGGTGTGTTTTGTGACCAGTTGTTTTTTAATTTTGAATCCAGAGCAGTCTCTTTGGTAGTTTGCAAATAAAATAAATAATTATGAAAAGCATTAGTAAAATTTATTATGTACATGTTTTTTCAAAAAATTAACAACACGAGCATGAGGACTTAGCCCTTTCGAAGTATGTATATTCCTGAAATAAAATCAATTGTTAACATTGCAAGAATTGTAAAAAGAAAGAAATTGTAGTTGTAGAAAAAAAAAGGAATTGTAGAAATATTGCAACTTTTACGCTGAGGTGATTTACTTATGTAGCATCATATAAAAGAAAAAACATAAAAATTACCAATAGAAAAGCAGCTGCCAACAATAAAGCTTTGTGCTTAGGTTGCACTGCATGGTCGGGAAAGGTGATGGTAGTGACGAAGTTGACGAGCTCTCGGTCCCAACCGTGGTTTATCCTGCCAACCATGCGGAGGGAATCTCCTGACATTATCTGAAACGAAGAATAATCTGATGTTACAAGAGTCCGAAAGCGTAATAGGAAATATTTTGCATGTGTTCAATTACAAAAAGATCTGAGAAAATAATGGTGTTTTCAAAATTCAAGTGCTGTATGTACCTTGAACTCCGAAAGCATCAAAGCACTCCTTCTCATAACTGCAGGTCCTTCTAAGACAAACAAGACGTCGTCATTGGCATTTCTCACGAGGTAGAACGGCACCATCCAGGTCCAATTCTGCTGAATACGCCCTATGTAGTCTCCAGGAGGTGTTATAACTTTCATTTCCTAAGGAAATAATTAGACAACCGTTCATTTGTGATCTTTTACCTTCAGGCTCAATGATCAATGAAATATACTAAAATTAAGTAATTGAAAAAAGATTTGGTTCTTGAACTTAAGTCTTTGTTTTTGTTTTTGCCGAACTGAAGTTTAATCATTAGGGTTTTGAGTTTAGAGAAGGGTTGGTAATGTTGGGATCAATCTTATATAGCAAAGCGTCAGTATTATTTGCAAGAGTGTCTTGTATTACCTACAATATTCCCGACAACTCTTTGCAATATTGGCTAAAAACCTTGATATTGGGCGTAGATCCTCTATGGCGAAGGGGTATACAGATAGGCATGGATTGATCAGTGTTCTTATCATAGTGTAGAACAATTTCTTTTTCAATCAATTTTAAGATTAACCTACCTGTAATCTGCAAGGGAAACAGCAAGAGGCCCCAGCAAGACGCCTCTGAAGCATCAAGGCTTCCTGTCGTGTATTGTCATGAAGATGCATTATGAAGGACCTGCCACTGCCGCAAAGACATCTCTGTGTAGAGCTGGAGACTTCGCTTGCGATGTATAGAGCTTCGCCGTTTGGGACCCTGACTATGTAACGGTTTTCTGACTCGATTCTTGAGGTAACTGAAAATGGCATTTTTTTAATGACTTATTTCCTTACATTTTTGATAAGGATCTGGTAGCTTTCTTAGTACTGATACATTAATCATATGATCAAAATAATATTTACACGTCCTTTTGCTGGAGACAGGTTTTCCCTAAGAAGTGGGTCAAGGTTATAGTCCGACACGATGGATCAATGTGGATTGGGGATTTAATAAATGTACGTATAATTTGATTCATTGTCGTAAATATGTACAAGCTTTTAGATTTTAAAAATTTGAAAAGATTTTCTTCTTTGGTTGTGTTTTATTATTAATTTTCAAAGGTGTTTTTTTAAGTTGCTTAGTAACGTTTTTGTTATTTACAAAGTATGAAGAAGTGCTAACGTTAAGACAAGTGTTTTTTGAATAAATAACAAAGACTTAGAGAGAAATGTGAATGTACTAACGGTCGGTAAGCTCAACGGTTTGCTGGATAAGCAATCTGGATACACCGATGAGGAAGTCCAGACCATTCACGGGGATGAATTGACCACGAGAATTCGACTGCCAGTCTAATGTGGACACTGGCAACTCTGCACGTACAGCTCCTGAAGGACACGTAAGTTGAATATGCTTATAGATGACACATAACATAACATATGTGTCGTAATGATTATCTTCATCAAGAATTCGATGAATAAATTCTTCAATACAACATTTTCAAGTCAATTAGGTTCTACCATATGCTGTTTGTTACTACTGGAATTTATTCATATGTTATTGCATCAATCAAGACACAATGTAACAAAGTAGCCTTTTGTATTTGACTTGGTAGGTGTCACTAACGCATGACGTCACTTTTGTTTTCAACAAATTCAAGACTGTTTATTTTGTCATCTCACCATGGTGTAGGAAGTACATTAAGAAAGAGCAATACATAACAACGCTAATAATTACACTTTGGGAGATTGGCGCTTAAACTAGAATGTAGTGTTTAACTTTTTTTCTTACATTTGACATTGGCGAAGATCGTATTCTTTATATTACTTTTATAAGACTGTCACTGGCAAAATCTTAAAAAACCGCAGCCAATAAGCGAAAGAAGAAGAATGCTTGACTAAATAAATTTCATTTTTTGCTTATCAAATGCCCATAGAGTATATAACCAGAAATAGAGACGAAATAAGGGTCATATATTCCTGGTAACACATTAGCAATGCAGCTCTTATAAATATCAACTATTTGAAATTATTCAAATATTTGAAAACTATTCTGCCATATCAGTACTGTGACAACTACGCTCCGATTGGCTAGCCCGAATTCGAAACAATTGACGGGTGTCGTCAATGGGTTTCGTCAACTGTTTCACTTCAAATTGACCAGTTAACTTGAGCTTTGCTATAATGGAGGAAAATTGCAAAATTATATATTTAATATTTAATTACCGATGAAATGTGATTCCGTTTGGTTTGTAATTATATGTTTTGCTGTTTTTCCCACACCACCAAATAGAACAGCACGGCATTGTTAGAGATATTATCTTTATTACAATAAATTCAGAATATCTTTACGGAATATACGGAGACGTACACACAGGTCAGTAGTTGGCCTGTCTATATTTCAGTACAAACGGGGGTTGATATTTATAAGAGCTGTATCGCTAATGTGTTTCCAGGAATATATGGCCCTTATTTCGTCTCTATTTTTGGTTATATACTCGATGCAAATGACATATTTATTTAACGTAGGATGCCGGCACTCCTTTGTATATTTAATTTATTTGTCATTTACCTTGCTGTGGTTGAACACTGATTACCAGGTCAGGACGTAAAGTTGTCCCATCGTCTGCAAAAAACAACATCGCAATTATTATGAAAATCTCTTAAAATCCTTAGAATAATAACGCATAGAAACCTAGTCCGCACACTCTAAGTGAGGCAAATTGAAGAGCTCCCAATGGGCCTACACGAGCGGGCGGGCCGTCAGTGCTCAAGGTCAACTTGCACCGCGAACAGATCAAGAAGTTTAGCTAAAAATGACGAAATGTGCAGTAAATGAGTGTAAAAATACGTCAGACAAACATAAAATAGATACTAACATCACATTCCACAAGGAAGTAACGCGTTTCAACTTGTATTTTTATATAAATATTCACTAAAACCGAAAATTAATTTCGTTGCAACAAGACACGAAAATGTTTGCAAAGTAACGGATTTCTTTCTCTCAGTTTTGCTATTCTGTTACAAAATAATTATATTACGTAATTTTTTTGAGAATAAGCAATATCGCGATGGCTGCAGATTTTTTTTATTCTAATGTAAGTGTGCATTTGACCTTCATTTCTGCAAGTTGAATGCGTACAAATGTTGTTTACAAAGAGCAACCCCTAGAGTTTCTTGCTCATACTTCTCAGGGGAATCTGCCTTACGAATGAGCGGTAGAGTTTAACCATTGTGACGATTTCAAGTGTAATAATGCTTACCTATGAAATAAAGATTATTTTGATTTTGATTCTGGGTTTCGTTTACGAGGTATTTGGGGGTGCTCATTACGAATATAGCACTTATTTCTAAATCCAAGATAGCGGACACGATTTTTCAAAAAAATGCAATATGGGTATTCTTTCCGAGGTATTTGGGGATGCTCATTACGAATATGGCACTCATTTCTAAATCCAAGATGGCAGCCACGACAGTTCAAACAAAAGCAGTATTTGTAATGAGCACCCCCAAATACCTCGAAAACGATACCCAACTTGCCATTATTCGAAAAATCGTGTCCGCCATCTTGGGTTTACAAATAGTGCCATATTCACATTGAGCGTCCCCAAATACCTCGAAAATGACACACATATAGTATTTTTTGAAAAATCGTGCCCGCCATCTTGGATTTAGAAATGAGTGCCATATTTGTATTGAGCACCCCCAAATACCTTGAAAACGATACCCAACTTGCCATGATTCTAAAAATCGTGCCCGCCATCTTGGATTTAGAAATGAGTGCCATATTGGTAATGAGCATCTCGAATACCTCCAAAATGATTCCCAATTGCATTTATTTGAAAAGTCGTGTCCGTCATCGTGTATTCAGATATAAATGCCATTTCCATAAGGATTACCAAAAATAAATTTTTGAAAATTCTTGTCACTTGACATTGTTGATCGACAGTAACGATCCATAAAACCGAGCATATCTGTAGGCACTTAATCGACATTGTCGATCGACAGTAACGATCGACAAAATCGAGCAAATCTGTAGGCACCTTTAATTTAATGATGAGTTAAACAAGATACAATTTCTCCACTTTTGAGGGAAATGTTATTCCTTGACATCATTATTTGTATATATTGTGTGCGTGCTGACGAGCGTAGATACAAGTTGCATACGCCTACATGAATTTGGTTTTTGCCTCACTTGTGACAGTTCGTTTGATATGAAACTATCATTCTATGCGTTATTATTCTAAGTTAAAATCATTGAGTCACTTTTTTTATTCTTTGTCCAATTCTTATCTTATATGAAATAAGTAATATAAAACAATCGCCTAACGAGTACATATATTACCTTCGGTAGCTGCTGGATTATCAACTCCTCTGTAATCTTTGTTCCTCTCGGAATTGTGGTATTCTCTTTCAACCACATCCATTTTTTAAATTATAATTCACAACTGTGAATTTTGTGTTTATATATTACAAACACTGAAATCACAATGTGCTTTGTTGTCACTACATGGAAAACTGGTATCTTTATCGCTATATCTCAATATATCGAGTACTTATTATCATTTATCAATACTCGATTTATCAGTATAATTATTGATGACGGTTTTGCCAACATATGTTGCTACATTCTCTGTTTAGTGATAAGGATGTAAGACTCGCTTTTGTTTGGTAGGGATTTTTGCTTCAAAACCCCTACCATCTAATATTGTAGATAAACAATAATATTAAGAAACTATAGATACTACCATTGAAGTATTTATAGTTTCTTTTCTTAAATCTAGCCTTGTAAGTTATAATTGAGGAAGTTCTCCGACTACACTGCCGTCCACTTTCTAAAAGCGGCTAAGAGTCGTATTCCAGAACTCTACTCAATACTCAAGTCAGGACTTGAGTATTGCAGTGAGCACTGAAAATCATACTCAAGTCCTTGCCATTAGGGTCGTATTTCCAGTGCTTGAAATCATACTCAAGTCTGCTCAAATCCTGACTTGAGTATTGAGTAGAGTTCTAGAATACGACCCTAAGTGACAAATAGTCTAATATCCATTTTAAATGGAAAAAGATAGAGCACAAAATTCTATTTTAAAAACAGTTAAAATTAGTTAACGTATTCGTCTTATCGGAACTTACCCTAACGGTGCATAGCTGAAATATCATTTAACAATTTCAATATTCCAAAACTGGGTTATGAGTTTTTATGACATCTCAACAAAATATTTTGTCACTTGCCGCGTTTTAGTTCGCGGACGCCAGTATATACCGCCCATGACTTTGCCAACTTTGTTTTTTCTTATTACTGTTATTTTTTTAAAGGGCCATATTTATTTACTAATATTTTGCTCCCCGAAATTTTGTGAAAAAAAAAAATAAAGAACCAAAAACAAAATGATAAAAAAAAGATTCTTGTAAAAAAAAGAAACGAAATCAAAAGAAAAACAGAACAGATCCATAAACTTAGTAGCTTAGAGGATGGATTCCATAGTCTAAGCTTAGTAGGCGTATTGTTCAATGGAGGTATCGATAGGGCTAGAAAGATTTCCTCCACCTACTGGGTGAAGTTTAGTTCCATATATCTACGCGTTCTATGAGACACTAGTAGCAGTAGCCTTGTGAAAGAGTTTGTCCAGGGATGTACTACTTATTTTTGCCACCAAACAGTAATGTGAGCGTTACTGCGTTCCGGTTTTGAAGGGTAAGGTTTGACTCGTCAACTTATGTCTCTGGGTCTTTGCAATCTAAAGCTCTGAACGGTACTGTAACTGCTATGGACAGGCGTGTCGCTTATCATAAGGCGCACGACATTGTGTGCGTCCCGTTACTTGATATCATAAAAAATCACTACCATCCTGTTACCTCAATGAGGTCGTATGATTGTAGACAAAATAGTTATCTTTGTAGAGCTAGCAAGGTTTGGACAGTGCTGACCAATCATCAAATCGTGATCTAAATGTTGATTGATTTTTAATTGTAATGTTATGCGCTAAAGCGCAGACATTTTCCAGAAATTTCATGTTGACGCATGCATTGGGTTGTTTTCTATAAATGCCTGTTTTTAACACATACGGTTTATTGTTCGTTTTTATTTAGTGATTGGCTGTATATTTTTATTCCAATTTTTATTAAGTGTTTTGAAGCTATTGGTTTTCAATCAATGAATAAATTAAAATACAGAAACGGAAGTTTTTCCAAACTATAAAAAAAATTAAAACTTATATTTGGGTGAAGTGCTTAGATGTGATAGATACAAGCTCCTGCAACTTGTAATAATGGGAATAGTCACTGACGGATGGAATGCTGGTTGTAGAAGAAAGTCTTGGTTACGGAACATATGAGAGTGGATCGAGAGGGCCGCTCTACTATTTAGCCTTGCCATTGCCAGCATATTTGATAAGGGCAAGTACGCTAACTGACTGCCAATCGTCACTATTTGAAGAGGCACTTTAAGAAGAACAAGTCAAAAATAAAATAAATCTTACTACGATAGTAATAGGGAAAAAGAGAATGTTTTTGGTAAACCTTGTATATTTAACAGAGCTAACTGTTTTTCTTCTGTTTTATATCTTCTGATATTGAGGTTGAGAGCAGTGATAGCCCAGTGACGAGAATTTTTAGTTTCTATGTATGTAAAAGCAAACAATATGCAATTTAGATCCGATAAAAAAACCGACCTCAAAAGTACGTGGAATTACATATAATTACCAAGTTTTATTGAAATCGGTTACCGGAAACTGCGCAAAACCCGGATCCATCCTCTAGTTCGCCACTATACGGGACTTGACACAGGAGATAATAAAAATCGGTTCTCACTACTCAAAGTATATTGAGAGAAAAACGCCTTGAATTGGGGAATAGCAAAACCAACCATTATAATAATTGCTCCTTATAATAAAATTTAGGCGCTATTTATGCAAATGAATCTTCATCTTCATGAACAGCCACAAAATGAAATCGGACCACTATGGAGGTAAAAAAAACATATAGTCGAATTAAGAACCTCCTCCTTTTTTTGAAGTCGGTTAGTTTCATTTTCAATTGTAAAGTTGAGATGTTTCATTTTACTTAGTCTACGTAACTATGAGCTATCGTTGTTGTAATATCAGTAGTCTGTCATTATCTTTGAAAGAAATAAATGAGAAAAATAAAACTACGTTATATGGAAAACCATTTATTTAATATTTCATATTAATATATACCCGAACATTTTACGAATAAAGTGATAACATTCAAGTTGTTAAAATGACTGGTAACATCAACCGCCTAGCTGATAAATTAGGTAGTATATTTCTATCTAATTTATCCATTTCAAAATGGTTACATTATTGTAAATGGTAAGATAAGTTTTAATGTGAGGAAATTTGACTAAATAGGTAATGTTCTTCATATTTTTATGTTATTAGTGACAACTTGAAGCCAGTTTTGGATCGGAAGACATAGAATTTGAGTACAAACATAGACTCCTATTTTTAGAGTTTGTTCATCACTTCTAATCCAAATAATTATTGTCCTAGTTTATTTTAAAGTGCGGCTAGTCTTAATACGTGCTCGTGATGTCCGTTTGCGAGCAGATGTTGGGCTTTTTAAAATCGGGATCACAAAGATCAACAGCTGTGGCAGAAGCTGATTCCAAAACTCGCTTCCCAAATTACATTAATTTTATCAACAATTAATTTTAAAAGAATGGAAAATATATTTAGTTACGCGTATATACTTTAAATGAGTACAATTTTTAATATAGAGAATGTTAAAATCCCTTTTTAATCCATCCTTCGATACGTTCACAATAAACTCACCGTGGTAGAAACATTTTTTAAAATTTGAAATACACACTTAGTACTGTCATGTTTTAATATTTAAGTTGACACACTTTAAAACACAAATATATATTTTAAGTAGATTCTTAGCTAACAACATTATAATTATGACTTCAGCACATCCGTAACACATTCCTAAACAAGACGATTACATCAACAAATCCTTTAAAATCTAGTCCCACCCAAAGTTCTTACCATTACATGAACTAGAAATGCAATCGCAAAAATAGCGAAAGCTCATAATATAATATTCAAATTACATTTAACAATGAAAGCGTAGCCGGTTATACATGTAAAACGATTTGAAGTTGTGTCTAATCATATGAGGTTCTGTGAAAACTAATTCTCGTATACCCCTATGCGTCTATGGCTGGTTAGACGCGTAAGGGTACGTCAAATCTTGCAATAATACTAAGGCATGTGAAATGCTTCTTTGAAGAATACATGATATTTGAAAATATATAACTAATCAAAGTCACGAATACTTATCGCGGTCAGTGTCGCTTTAGTCGTGAGGAAAGCCAGGTTCTCGATCGAATTTCATAAATTTGATTGGTATACATTATTTTCAAGAATGATCTTTCATTCCAAGATTGTGACGCGGGTTTCAGGCTCACGTCGTCAAATATCAGTTTTATGAAGTTGTCGATGACGATTTATCGTTGAAGGGCACGGTGCCAGTTGATGTTTAGTTTGAGCGTGGCCGGGAGACAAGGGCTAGCCTCACATTCGCCGTCCAGCTCGTCTGCCAGATTGTCGTGGAGTTCTCGCAGAGCCATCAGTGCCGATCGAGCAGCTCTTTGGCAACCCATGTCACCATCGCAAGTCGTATCAGCTTCGGACAGGAAGACAAGATCGCAGGTCGTAGGAGGTGCTTCGCCCTGATTATAAATGAAATGTTCATTAAAATTATTAAGTAAGTACAAATAATGTTCATAATATTTGACACTGGATTATACTTACGCATAGGTAGCATATCTGGTGCAAGCTGCAAAGGGGCAGGAACAGTTGCCCTCGATCGCCAGCCAACATATCAACTCCATGACAACGTTGGATGATTTTCGCGAGAACTGGACAAGCGCCTGCAGCTCCAACTGAAACCAAAAAATAAAAAATATATAATGTTACCAATTAACTCAGAGTGTATCAAGAAAACAAATCTTAAAGACGTTTAACTTACCAGTCGACGCCAGAGGAGTACGATGTCTGCCACTGTTGTCCATGTATCCTTCAGAGAGTTGGTGATCAATTTTGCCATTCAAATAGTGGCCAGCACCTTCTTCTGCTTCAAAATCATCATCCTTAACTTGCACCTTATCCAAAGCTGGAATCTCGTTGTCGCTGATATCTACTTTCTCCTTTTTGACAGCTACTCGTTTCGTTTTTGATATTTCGGATGGGACAAGAGAGCTTTGTGATGTTTCAGTTCTTTGTGTTTGCAAACTTTGCTTAAACTCTTTCAAAGCTTTGCGCATTTTTTCCAAACTGTACGCAGTAGCAAGTTTTTGCAACATTTTTTCCTTAATTTCCTGTTCTTCTTTGGAGTCTAATTCTTCTTCACCGTTAGAATAGTGCAATGCTTCGTCAACAATTAAGTCTTCCACATTGCGTAAATTTTTATCCAAATTTTCTATTTTCGCGTTAGTGTTGTCTTCCGCTGCATTTCTTTTATCATCGCTTTGAGTAATAGATTCTTCACTGGGATTTGGCTCTACATAGTTTCTCTTTACATTAGTATGTCTTCGAAATGAATTTAATGGATAAACAACTTCCTTGTTGAAAGTGTCTAAGTATTGTTGTTTGAGTCGATTTTCGTTGACATCGTGGACAAATTTCTTGCTTCTTTTATCAATACCGAAATAGTCAGACCAATCAATGGACTTTTTTTTAATTTTTATTGGCTTATCATGGCTGTGGATTTCGTGGTCGTGGATATGATCGTGCCCGTGTTCGGATTCTTTGCCTGACATACCAGGATGATGTAAACTGTGGCCATGTTGCTCATGACTATCATCATCGTCTTTTGTGGCGTTCTGTGTGTGGTTATTGTTATGGCTTAACATTATCAATTGTGGAGGTTTAGTCTCGTGTGACTCTTCCATATTAACATTACGTTTAACAGGAGATTTCATTTCCATTCCTCCAAATATTTTGGACAAATCTTTAATTATCCTGGGATCGGTCCCAGCACTGCTTCTGAACGTCTTTGCTTTGTTATGTTTATTTTGACTTTGGACGAATCGCTTTTTTTGTGTGTTATAATATGGACCACTGCTGCGTTTAGTTACTGGGAAACGCTTTTGAACGGATTCGTAAGAATATTGATCTTCGTCAGCAGTATCTGATAATGTATCATCTAAAGGTTGAAATGCAATTGCGTACTCATCTCGCCAATCATCATCCTTGTCATTGTCGGAGACATCATAAGCATTGTAATTAGCATCTGCTGTTATAGGGGCTTGTGTTCTCTCTGGCTCATAATCGGGGATAACAGGACGTTCAATATCAGAATCTGAACTGCGCTTTCGTTTGAAAGCAATGGGGCCCCAATTATCAGGGTATCGTTTTTTGACAACTTTTTCTTTGTATAGCTTCACCACTCCAGGTGGTGCGGATTCAATGTTTCCATGGGCCTTATTATTTTTGTACTTCGCCCAAAGCTGACTTAAAAGCAATGCATATTCCGCATCGTTTTCAGCTCGATCTTGTAGAGCTTCATTTTTTTCTTTCTCATTGCTATCTGAGAACAAATCTCTTAGCCTGTCATTGTCAGGGTGATGGCTTCTCTCACGGAAAGAGGATTCTTTTCTGGTTGGTGATTCGAAGCGTGAACTCTTTTTCTTCACTATTTTGTACTCGTAATCGACAGGTGGACGATCATTTTGTTCTAGGAACTTCACAATGTATTTTGGATTGGGCTCCTCTTCGATATCTTCAATGTCTACTGGGTATTCAGATTCTGAAATTAAAAGAGAATTGAATAAATTGAAATTTATTATAAGGTTGAAATAGAAAAAACACAACTGATTCGAGGAAGTGTTTGAAAGTACCTGGGTAACCCGGTGGGATGAATTCATAGAGAGCGTCATAGTCAGGCATTGGCAATACTGGGCTCCGAGCATGGCCTCTTTGACGGCGTTGCAGTGCTTCTACCGCGCCGCGCAGGGAGGATCCCGGCTCAGCAGCGCACGCCAGCACGAGGGAAGCTAAAAGCCACGGAACAAGCATCGTGGCTGACGATTCTGGGAAGAAATTGAAACCGGAAATAGTACATACAACTCTTTCTAACGTGTTTAAAAAGAAATATAATGGTAACAATAATTACATTTGCATTTGAAAGTCCTCGTCAAAACGAATCATAAGAGCCCAAACACAAAATAACTGCTGTACATTGTTGAGGAGTTCCTCTCGTCATCATAACATTTTATGTTAATTAGAATTACATCTACGTGCCAAGTTCTATTGAAATCGGTTAACTGAAAGTAGGTGAATTTCAGTGAATTCATCCCCGGATTCATCCCCTAATTTACTACCCTCTAAGGTAGAATATTTTTTTGAATGGGACCGTTACCGAGGTACCCACTTTCCAACAAAAAAGAATCGTCGAAATAGGCTCACAAATGTCGTAGGACTTGAAAAAACGACTTTTCTGAAGTCGGTTAATAAAGCTTTTCAAGTCCCTAAAATATAGTTATATTTAAAAAACAAAGAGCGCAACAACTCCGAACGCAAGACGTCATTGGTAGATAAAACACAAGTTGAATGAACGCTGAGTTGATACGATCACGTTTCTTTGTCTACCACACACGTAGTGTGTTTGATTTTGCATAACAGATTATGAATATTAAATAAGAAGATCGTACACGAAGAAAAATTCATTCGATTCGGTTGCACTTCAACTAGATTTTTTTGTAATTATTGTCCGATTGACTATTAATCTTAGAGGATGGATTCCATAGTATAAGCTATTAATAGGCGTTAAAAAGAATATAATATGGACAAAGAGTTCGTAGTCTTTAGCTGCGAAATGTGAAACTAGGAGATCATGACCTGTACTCGTCATTATTAGCGAAATTTAAATTTTTTTATTAACATTTAAACGACGGAAAGTAAAAAAATAAACTTTATTAAAATTTGCATTGAATTTATATTAAATTATTTTTTGGGAAATTACCCCACTAGTTTGTTATTATTACTAATACAAAGATCGAACACTTAGAAAAAATTCCTTCGATCCGGCCGGATTCGAACCGACGTCTTTTGGAACAGACGCTTTGCCAACTAAGCCAAGGAACGAACCAACGGACCTCACGAATTTTTTCAAGTGCTTGTTTGTCGGGTCGTTGTTTTTGGTTTTCAATGATTTTTTAGCCATAGCGCCATCTCAAATCTATGAATGTATTCCGTCACCCAGTTAGGTAACTTTACAGCTACCAGCCCCGGCTAGAGATGTGGCTATGAATTAATATTCAATTATTTTTTGGGAAATTATTCCACTAGTTTGTTATATTAATACAAAAATCGAACACGTAGAAAAAATTCCTTCGATCCGGCCTTCGAACCGACGTGTTCTAGCAAACCGTGCCAGACATTATGCCAACTAACTACAACTAATAAACTTTATTTTTTACCGACTTCAAAAAAGAAGGTTCTCAAGTTGACTTTATTTTTTGTATGAGTAACGTTTACTCCGACGTTTATGATCCAGTTTCCTTAATTCTTCATTCATGCGCATTCAAATTTGATGAAAATATTCCTATAAAAATATGTTACATAAGGGTGGCAAATTCGTGGAACAATCCGGTTTATTGGATTTCACCTACTTTTGTTAACCGATTTGTCAATTTTATTTTTTTAAATTTGTAAAGCATACCTTGTGTTGGTGCCCATCAAAATTAATTTAAGCAGTATTAACCATGATTAAAGGCTACAATTGGCATGACTTAAGCGATTTGCAGATTCTACAGAAACCGCAAAGCCGCCGACTATAAGTCCCATCTAATTCAAGATTCTCAAAGAGCATAGATTTATGCTTCCAAGTTGCGGATTAATTGGTATTATTTTAGAAATGGGTTTGTTTATTATTCTGTTTGCTGTATTAAACGATATGGAACCCTCTGTCTGTATTTGGTTCTCTTTGTTATTAGAAAATCTTGAAGTGGCTTCGAAACCTTTGAAGAATGGAGGGGTAGTGATATAAGTTATAATAATATTCTTAAGGCTGGTTTCAGAGTAGTGCGGATTTATTTGCGGGCCGTCACGCGGAGGACGGAGCGGAGTAACACGTGTGGCGTTAGAACATTGTTTTAGGCTCAATTTATATCGCGGAGGATTTTTTGTAACGGTCTAGTACATAGCATAACGAACTTTATGGTCAATTGTGTAACTTACAAACTAGATAAAGCCAATATCTTCCTCCTTCTTATTTTGGCTCGTATTTAGTTTGTACATAAAGTTCATTATGCTATGTACAATACCGATTCCGCCGCAATTGAGCCTTACTGTGACGCGGATTGCTGGGTACAGAAAAGGTTCCGCGTGGACTCCGCACAAGCCACCCGTGCGTCCATTAGGCAGTAGGAATGAAGCTTCATACAGACAATGTATGAAGCTTCATTCGCATCATGCACCTTTTAACTTAACTTGGTCGAGTATTATTTATTTGACAGTAATTTATTCGAATGATTGTCGGACGAAGAACGGGATTAGACCTCCTGATCTTCTCCTCATCAACACGAATCATGGTTTTCATACACGCTCGTCGGTTAAGGGTGCTCTTGACCTGGCTCTTCTTTTGGATAGGCTCAATTTGGTCAACGTAAGTTCGGATTTGTCGGCCCTTACCAACTTGCCCGCTCGTACTCGCCTTATAAATCTGTTTCGACAATCTTCTTTCATTCATTCTCTCCACATGTCTGAACCATCTACGAATCCCTTTCTCTATCTTTGTCATTACATCTTCTTCCACGCCGCAACGCTCTCTTATTATACAGTTCCGTAAATTATGATTCCTAGATTTTTTTTACAATACCAAATGACGGGACGAGTAAGGCCTGGTGGTAAGCGACACGCCTGTCCATACAGTTGCAGTGCCACTCTGAGCTTCAAATCGCAAAGATCCGAGAGGCATTGCCACTGTGCCTGTCACCCTGAGACATAAGTTGCCAAGTCCCATGTGCCTGTAATTTCAAAACCGCAACGCAGTAATGGTCACATTACTGCTTGGCGATAGAAATAGGTAAGGTAGAAGTAGTTTCCTGGACCAACTCTTTCACAAGGAGCTCTGCTGGTGTTAAATATTCCACTCTTAAATGATGAATAAGCAATTATGGATCTTGGGCGGCGTTGATGAGAGACCTGTAGATCAACGGAACATTCGCAGGTGCTATAAATTGTATACTAAGCAATCCCCACACGTAACAGGCAAAAATACTGTTACTATTTGTTGAATCGGCTCACCAGTAGCGCCACATGTAAGGCTATAGTTTAGGATACGATGGAACTTGCATATGCATTGTACAAAAGTTCTAAAATAAATAAACTCTGGATAGTTTAAGATGATATTCCACTGATCTTTTCTAAGTTGAGGTTTAGGCTAGATTGATAGTCCAACATGCAAACCCCAATTGAAACAGAGCTCGTATGGGAAGTACTGCTACCTTACCTATTTCTGCCGCCAAGCAGTAATGTCTGCATTACTGTGTTCCGGATTTTTTAATAAAATATAAGTGCGTATTTGACCTTCATCTCACCTGATAGAAAGTGACGATGAGGTCGACGATGGAGCATGCACACCTAAATAATGCCAATTCACTCTCGCCTTGAAAAGGCTCAACTCGTATAACGTTCAGTGAACAAGTCTACAGGCAGGGGATTCCACTCCAAAGCCGTCCGCCATATAAATGTGGAAACGTAACGCTTCGTGCGAATCTTTGGAATATCCACAACATAGGGGTGGAACCCAAACTAAAGGTTGTGAAGGATAAGGGTGCTAGTGAAATTGCAGGCACTTGAGACTTGTCAACTTATGTCTCAGGGTGACGGGCGCTGTGGCGGTGCCCCCAGATCTTTATGATTTAAAGCTCTGAGCGACACTGCAACTGTTATGGGCAGGCGTGCGGCTTACAACCAGGCGCACGACTTGTTCGTCCCGTCACTGGGTATTATTAAAAAAAAAAATCCAACAAAACCTTACCAAATGTACGTAAGTAAGAAACTAATTCGGTTACCACAGCTCTTTTCTCGTGAAGTACAAAATTTTAACTTTTGATGTAAACAAAATTTGCCTATGTAACCGGTAAAGTGCGGAAAAGGTTTAACATAACAGATTAAGTAGTTATTCTGGAGATTAGCTAACCAAATCCGTTAAAGTGCGAAGAATTAGTGCAAATTATATTATATAATATAATAATTATAAATATTATAATTATACAATAGCGCATTTTGCAAAGTTATAAAGCTGTAAATTAACGACTTTTGTACTTTCTCGTAACGTATCCACCAGCATAAAATATTATCACAATACTATTGTATACTACTTAAACAATATCATCATTTTGTAAGATTGGCGAGTTTAGATAAGATTTGAGGGCGGATATGCAGTCTTGGCCGCCCTAGAACCCCCAGGCCATGTAGTCAGTACCTACCGCCCCTATCTCGGCACTCGTCATATACTGGTAAACTATATAATGAATTTACGTTATGCCAACTTTTATCGAAATCGATTCAGAAATTTAACTATAATAATTGCACTCTGTCTATTGGTGGAAACCGCATGAAAATCCGTTCAATAGTTTTAAGTTTATCGCGGTCAGACAAACGGACAGACCCGGTAATGCTGTAGTGATTATACATTACATTATAGATATGTATGCGATATAGGATGCGGTGCAGTGCGGTCCGCCATAATGTGCGTGAGCCTTTAGAATATTTAGGTACTGTAGTACAGGCAGCTTTGGTTTTGCATTTAGAATTGTAAGAACTTTGGGGAATTTATCGCTCCCCTAACGAACAATAAAACGGCCTCGTGAACTTCGTGAATGGCGATATAATTATAAAGTTTCGTGGTTTTTACAAAATGCTTTTTATCAAACCGGGCAAACAATTTGCAATCGCTGACATGACCATATACGTACATAAAAACAGTCAAATATTTACGGCAAGTGTGACACTGTCCTTGGCGACTCTCGTCCAAAGAGACTGCCACAGCCAGCCGGTGATAATAGGCGGCGTCTAAAGCCGC